GATTTCTGAGGTCTATATCTATGTCTGACACCTGCAGTGCTAAGCTGCGTGCTTTAAATTATGAAGGCAATAAGCCCTTGTGTTGTATGTTAGGAAGCATTTGCTAATTGAGGGGGCCCCCTGTGAAGTTTTTACTGAGTTTTGAAGTTCCTGCAAAACTTCCTTGTAAGCTTTTAGTATCAGCCATGGTTGGAGATACTAATATGATCTAGGCTTGACAGGCCCCGTAAACAGAGGGTGTTTTGCTGATTATCCCACTAGATCATTGTTTGTTGTTTTTTGCAGGTGGATATCTTCATAATGACTGAGCCATCTTCGGGTAGGTGGGTGTACTTTGACACAGAGATATCCAACAGCAGTGGCCGGATATCATACAACATACCTGAACAGAAGAGACTGAGAGTTGGTGTGTATCCCATCAAAATGGTGGTCAGGTAATAGCTCCAAGCTGGAACTAAAGCTCTGATCAGGAAGGAACTTCAAAACTGAGTAAAAACTTCTTTGAATCCCTTCTTTGGAGATTAAATCAGTGGGGCAAATTTAACTGAAACAGAATGTGTTGTTACCCACCAGATAAAAAGGTCCAAAATCTTATGTAGTGCTAATTGAGCAGGAGAAAATGTTTTACCTCAATGTCATAGAAATTCAAAAAAAGAGAGTTACTAGAACACAAATTAGGTTGTATTCAGAAGTGAAGCTTTAGAGTGCAGGAGTAAGTTTCAAAGAGGAACAAAAGAAACAGTCCTGTTTTTGCTTGTTAAGCTATCAGCACATATTTTAAGAATCTGCATCACCAAATATAACTTTCTAGATCATAAAATAATATTTCTAAAGGAAAGAAAGTATGGTTTCAGATTACATTTTTTTTAGGGTACATGAGGTGGTGGGATGAGAAGAGCTTTAGATTGCCTTGTGATTTATTCATTTTTTGACATGCAGACCTCTTGGGGAAAAGACATTGTGAGGAAAAGATTCCATTTCACATTCCTTTCCATGGGAAGAGCCCTTTATGACTGTGTTGTTTTGGGGTGGGCTTTTTTTTTAACTTTTCTGGACTGGCATTCCCATGGTAATTTGCAATGCTAGAGGGATAGCTCATGCTTATAATACCAACTGTTTAGCTTATGGAGAAAGTTAGAGTAGTAGTTAAAGTACTTCAGGCTGGTTTGGGTTTTTTTCCCCTAATTCTTTTAGCTATTTGTACACGTGTGATTTCTTATTGACATTAGCTTCCAAATTTCTCTTTGAAAAGCTGTTTTCTAAAAGTGTAAGTGTAATTGCCCCATGTAGGACTGGAATCAGAAGCCCTATTTGACAGTGATTTTTAAAGCTGTAGGTCCAGACAGAACTAATTTCAAATATTAACTAGAACTTGTAGAAAATACATTCTGATATTTTGCTCTTTAAATGAATTTATTGCTTTGACTCTCCAGAGGGGACCAGAGCAGTGCTGCAAGTTACCTGACGGTACTTCCCCGAGGAATGGAATGTGTTGTGTTCAGCATTGATGGTTCGTTTGCAGCAAGTGTTTCAATTATGGGAAGTGACCCCAAAGTCCGAGCAGGGGCCGTTGATGTTGTCAGGTAAGTGAGGCTTGAACACTAACTCTCTGGCTACTGAACACAGTAGGAAGGAAAAGGGTTTTTTTACTTAATAAACAGCAATTCTGTAAAGGCCAAGATTCTTTGCAGATACATTTCTATATTTGCTTGGACAGCAGGTCTGCCTGATTGTCAGAGGAATCCTAGAATGCTGTGGATTACTTTGAAATTTGTAGTTTAAATTGCCTAAAGGTTAAAAGTTGCTTCTTGGGAATATGGCCTTGAAGTGTGTGCAGTGAATTAATAATGATTCCATGAGTATTTTGTGTTTCATTAACTTCACATAAGGACATAATTGTACTTCGGAAGTATCAGGTGCCGTGAACGCAAGAATGTTTTTTGGAGGCAAACTAAAAGCCTTTTAACCCATTCTTGCAAGTCAGTTATGTCGCACTGGATGGGGAAATGCAGTTCTCATTTTGGAACCTGCGTGGGAATGTAGGGATGTCAGTTTTCAAAGGTTTCCCTTCCTTAGAGCTGAAATGGCAGAAAATCTCATTAAAGGTTTCAAAGGTAGCAGGGCTTGATGTGTAGCAAGGTCTATTCTAATCACATTTTTAAATAGCTCTCATATTTTAGATAATATTTTGTATAAGAGTCTCTCTTCCTTTCCTCTGTCTCCCTCAAGGTGTAGACAGTATTACTTAATTGCTTGATAGGAGCAGAAACTTACGCATGCTGCTCTTCACTTGTTGAAGGATAACATCCAACTTCTAACTGGGCTAAGAAAAGATGCTGATCTGACCTGTGAGTATTGTTTCTCTTCCTGCACCTACATAATTTGCCTGCTATTTCTGACAGGCATTGGCAGGACCTGGGATATCTGATTATCTATATCACTGGCCGTCCAGATATGCAAAAACAGCGTGTGGTTTCATGGTTGTCTCAACACAACTTCCCACAAGGGATGATCTTCTTCTCAGATGGACTGGTTCATGACCCACTGCGACAAAAGACCATTTTTCTCCGGAATCTCATGCAAGAGGTACTAGAAACCTATTACTAGCCTTAGAACCTCTTTCCAGTGAATGTCATTCAGTAAAGTAAGAGATCTCCCTTCTTCCTGAACAGTGAATCTCACTGGTCATCACAAAGTCTTTTTGCCACTCCTCATTTCTTTTTTCACTTTTTAAAGAGCAAGGAAGGCTGATAAAACATCAAAGGGACCTCCTATCATGATAAATAAATAAATGAACTGCTTGGTTTTTCCTGTGTGCATAGCTGTAGTTCTTGCTGGCACGCAAGCAGGCAGATTTAGGTATCTGCAGTTTACAGAATGAGATTGTTAACAATGAACTCATGTGCTGCTTCATTGCAAATCAAGTGCCAGCCTCATAGTTGCAGGGTGTTCAAGAGAGCGTTCACTTTGGAAGTAATATTTGTTTCAGTGCCACATCAAAATCTGTGCTGCATATGGTTCCATGAAGGATATTTCTGTGTACAGTGTCTTGGCTCTGTCACCATCCCAGATCTACATAGTTGGACGACCCACAAAGAAATACCAGGCACAGTGTCAAGTAAGTAACTCTTGCTACTCAATCAGGAAGTCCTGTGGAAGACAAGGAAATGCATGAATGCATGTGCAAACACAAACCCCTCAGAGCAGTGACAGTGTTTCAAAGAAGGACAATTTTGGGTACAAATGAGGCATTTTCTGGCAAGGTGGATGGTAAAGAGAATTGAGCAATCACAGGTTGTATCTACAAGTGCATGCATTGCATATTGCTGAATGACAAAATGGAACAGGTCACTGAAAAAAAAATTGAGAGGAGTATTAGTACTCTGTAGGTGTCTAACTGGGGTGCCAAAGATCAAAACTTAATTTCTCATAGAGCTCATAGATTAAGGCAGCAGTAATTTGTCACTCTCTTTCTTTTCTTCCTATTTCAGTTCCTCAGTGAAGGTTATGCAGCCCACTTGGCCTCACTGGAGTTCAGTCTCCATTCACGACCCAAAAAGAACAACTCTCGGATGATCTTGAGAAAAGGTAGCTTTGGCCTCCACTCCCAACCTGAGTTTCTGCGCAAGAGGAACCACCTCCGCAGGACTATGTCTGTGCAGCAGCCTGACCCACCTTCCTTGAACCCCAAGCCAGAGCGTGCCCAGAGCCAGCCTGAATCAGACAAAGATCACGACAGGCATTTGCCCTCCATTGCTTGGGTTCGAGGTGTTCACAAATTTGAATCTGTTCCCTAGGAAGATTGGGAATGTAGATCTTGGGTGCACCCCATTAAACTTGTAGGCATGCCTCAAAGATAATATTTAGGCACCTCCAAACTAAGAGATGTAGACGGGAACCTGTACCTCGGAGTCTTCCCTGTTCTGAAATCTGTGTTCTTATACCAAGTGGGGAACTTGCAGTTTGCTCCTCTTGTCATGTTTATTGGGAGATTTTAAAACAACCTAAAACTACTGCAAGTGGTTACAACATCAAAGCAAAAGGAAATATCTTTGATTATTTTTTACAACAGATATAATATGTGCAATAAGAGAAAGAGCTAAAGCAGGCTGATTTTACTCAGAAGAAGGGTTGTGGTATGAGCTAACTAGCTGCATCCAAACCAGTATAAATGGTAGGTTGCATAGGTTACAGAGAAGGTTTACACTTTAAATAGTCCTGTCTGTTTCCACTTTTCAATAAAGTGGCACACTTGCAAGGGAAGCAGAGATGGGAACTACAATAACAGGTGGTCAGAGTTTGTATAACAATATGCTTTTTGGGTGCTTTAAGCCCAAGATTTCCTTTCAGCTTGCAGTGATGGTAAACAGACTCCAACATCGGCACTCATGTTCGTGTGAGGTGCTGGACAAATAAATGAGAACTTCATTTATGAACCAAATTATAAAAACTTCATGTTAAAAATAAATGTGTCTGCCACAGTTTGAAGCAGTTAGTGTTGCTGTAAACAAATAATGTGCAACTGTACGAAGATCACACTGTTTTGTGGAATTTGGTGACTGTGCAGAAATGTATGGACTACTTCGGTAAGGAGATGGCTTTGCCCATCTCAGTCTGAGAGTCAGATCTTAAGAGGGTAAGCTAAAGGGAACCCTTTTACTAAGGGATCTGCAAACTCCAGGGGAATCTTTACACTGGAGGAAAAGAAAAGAAAAGTAATGAGGTATATCAGTGAATTGTTTACCTTCTCATGCTTTATAGCAACTGCTGTGTTAAGACAATCTGTAGCATTCAGAATTACAGCATTTGAGCTTCACAGAATGGACACGACAAATTACAGGTGCCAAATAGACATTTTTCTACAGATTTAAATTTCTCTCTGATCTCCCAGTGGACTTACTAGAAGTAAAATATGTGACATTTTCCTTAAGTAGTATAAGTAGTAATATTTCTGAAGTGTTGTAGTTAGTTTAACATAGTAGCAGTTTGCAGATTCTTCATGCAGATACTTCCACTGAGAGAATTCATCAAGAGAACTTTCATGACCGAACTGATGCATGTTTTAAAACCTGCAATGAAGTTACAAGTGCACATAAAACCCCCTTTTTTTTAAAAGTTACAACAAGACTATTGACACCGAGAAAGCTCGAAGTCAATAGGACATTTCTTTTTCAGGTTGGTTTGTTAGTTTTTAATTTCAGGGAATTGGGGTGGAGAGGGTGTTGTGCCTCCCCACCCCCCTTTCAGGTTTTTGTATACCAGAAACAGTCTCTCAACAAGTTGGTTAATGATTTTGATAGTTGACGGTAAAACAAGTAAGAAATGCAATGGAAAACTATCAAGACACTGCAGAAGTAAACCTAAGTCTCTACTCCCTGTTAACCCTAAAGTTTCAGTGTGCTTTTGGAAGGGCATAGGAATACAGCTTTTTACTTAAAAGGCAACAAAATATCTTATAAAGGGAGATCCTTGATTTATATTTTCAGACATAACTTGGCAAGATTGTCAGTTATCTATTTCAAACTTCCTGAAATATCTCTGGCACATCAGTAATTTTTTTGGTGTAATGCGTCCTTTAAGGGAACACATTAAAAAGATTTAGGAAAGATGTAAAAAGTTTGGAAGTTCACACTTACTGGGAGCAGGTAAATACATTACAGGGGGCTGGGTTTTTATGCTGTTACCAAGTCAGGCAGCTACAAAAGCTAAAGGAAAGATAATTCGCAAACTACATTGAAAGCAGTCTTCAGATTTACAAATGCTTTACCAGTAGTATCACAGTTCCTTAACCCACAGAATTGGAGGAATTATTCTGTGCTCTATCTTGGCCCACTGTGTGTATTAGTTCTAATCACAGAGTCCATTTCTTGTGTGCTCTGCTCTAGGAGGACATTGCACAGGTACACCAGACTCCATTTCCCTCCAGTGACTTCACTGTTAGCAGGCTCCTGCTTCTTAGATTTAAATAGGCATGGGAGTACAAGGCTTGTGAGTGAGGAACTCACTAGGCAAATTTTAAGTTTGCTGAGGGGACCTAAAAGCAACATTGACCGATCACAAAGTTCATTCTAAGCACTGAATGTTTCGTAACAAGTCTTCTGATAGCAATCACTGTTCCGGCTGCTAAGTTTAAAGCTACTGTTGCTTTAGCCATCTACCTCTGTCATCCAAGAGACTCCAAAATCTGTTTTTTGTTATAAGTTGTTGTAGTAGAAAGGTTGACTATTTTTCAGAAGAGAGATCTGGGTGTAGTTCTGTGACTGTGACTGTACTGAAGGAAATAAGTGTTTGAGCACAAGGTTAGAGAAATCTCCTAGGTTTCTCTAGAAAAGGCTGTCTTTTACTCTTGGAGACATAATGTCATTTTGCAGAGTACCATGTCATGTAAATTCTAATTTTGTGTATTTTCATTAATGGCTGGGTCACCTTGTCACTTTTATAGTAGTCAGTGTGCTGGCTTCCCTTAAGAATATTACAAGTGTATAGCAGTAAAACGAATACATGTGTGTGCATGCGATTTAGAGTGGTAACAGTTTCAAAGTTTCTACATGTGGTATTGAAATCAAGCTGAAAATATTTTCCCTAACTTTGTTCCCATACAATATATGAGAACTTAAGTGGCATTTGCATAATTCCAGCACTGCTTATTGCTCATTGATAGAGTGGTTTATCTCCTGATCACATGCTCCAGCTGAGCACTTTGGCAAAACAGTGATACAGGCATTAGCTTGGAGGTTAAGGCTTCCAGCTAATTAGGAACTGATCTGAAACATCAAATGCCAGGTGCATTGGTTTTGAAAGCACCAGCCAGTTGCCACTAAAATGGTAAAACAGCTTCTGTTGGAGCTGAGAGCATGAACAAGGTGATTGTGATTTTTAGGCATCTCAGAACTAGGCTGGCAGTTCAACAGGCGTTCTGTGGCAATAACTGGAAACCTCATGCATGTTGAACAACTAGTTTTTCATGGGATTTTTTGGGTTTTTTTCCCCCAGCTATACTTGGGGTAGTCCTGGGTTTGCCTAATGCATCTCTAGTTTTATAGTATAATTATTCTACGTTTTCTCTTAGAACATTCCTTTGTGGTCAGAATTTTAGTTACACATTTTGTCCACATGAAACTGCATGCAGTGGTTCATGGGCATTCAGCTTGCAATTGGATTTCAGTTTTACCTGTGTTTTCATGGAAGATCAGTCCTCCTAAGCAGGCTATTTGCTGAGGATAAGTTTGAGCCTACAGCCATCCTATTCTCTGATTGCAAGTCCTCATTGCTGCAGTCTCTGTGCAGTCAGCACTTAGACTGTGTAGGCTATGAAAGTGTTAAAGCACACACAGAAGGGAAAGGGACAGAGGCTAAGGTGGGTGCCCAGGGAACATACAAGACTCATCAGTTGTTTCAGCACCTTTAGTGCCTCCAGTCTGTAACAGAAAAGCACATTCTTTTAACCTGCTGAATGGAGGAAGCATAAATGAAATTGTACAACACAAAACTGTTAGTCCAGTGGGTGCTAAGGCTGCAGTAAAGTCAGTGCAAAGTAAGCCACCGTTGGAAGCATTTACTTCGTTGTCTTGTTGATATGGATCCATTTTAAATTACTGTAAAAAATGGCTGTGATTAATAGCAGTGGTAGAGTTATCTGAGATATTGTAAAAACACACCTTCACAACTGTAGTGTTTTGGTTTTGTCTGTGTGTATGTGTGTGTAGCTACTGGAAGACACTAAAGTTTTGGTTCTGCTTTCACAACAAATTTGTAACCAATATACTTAAAAAAAAAAAACAAAAACAAAAACCAACAAAACAACACCAACAATGGCTGTTTATTCAATTTTGTTGTCTAGTTAGGTAAGTTTGGAAAAAGATACCATTGTATAGAATGCAGACTATTCCACAGACCCGAATAGTGATGTTGGTCCAAATCTGCTTATTTTTAATAACTTGTTTGTTTGTTTGTTTGGATACACTAGTGCTCTTGGAATAGATTCTTGCTTGATCAGAGTATTCTTGTTTAGTTTTGTGGCATGGTTTATATCTATTCAGCATAAAATTTTGTTAGCTGTAAAAAGGACACTGTGTTGATAACTCTTGTTCACTGGGGTTCATGAGAGCTGTCATTTTGATTTGTTTACATTAAACTAGTCTTAATTTTTACAGATTACTTCACCTGTTCCTCTAATACCTAGGGAAGTCACCTCTAAACAGCTAAAACTTTCACTGGCTATGCAGACGTGGAACTATCAGTAAACTAGAGAAAAAAGATTACATACCTTAGTCTACACAGGACAATGACACTTTATCCAGAAGACCCACCATTCTGCAAAATTGCCTTTGTTTGCCATTACTAGTGAACAAGTTGTTCTGTTTATACATTGCAGTCTTTCTTTATCCAGGACACTTCTAATGTGTGTATTTAAGCAAATCCCCAATATTTAGCTCCATAGTATCATCACGTACTTCATGGAATAAATTTGGAAAGGGGGAAAAAAAGAATTTTTTCCTGTTTTCTATATTGGTTTCTGTTTTAAATTTGTAAAAACTTTGTTTATGAGTCTTTTTTAATAATACCTGAAACCTAGGTATTTTTAGTTTTTTTAATTTTTACATGCAACATTTGCTACTGAACAAATAGGATTTCCCCCAGGTTTTTTTCCCCTCTTGTCATCTAAGCCATTAAAAGGTGAGCACATCATAATAGTACTAGATAACTGGAGCATGGGCACCTTTTTGATAAGCTCATTGGCTTAAAAATGGAGAGAAGAGATTGTGCACGCTCATTTCATCGTTTTTCTGATTAGAGATTGACATGTGGAATCTGAACATCAGATCTCTACATTGATTTGTTCATGTCAGGCTTGCAGGGGAGAAAGTGGTACTTTCCATCCTCATCTGGAGCTGGTACAGGATAGAATTCCTATAGACACAAAACTTTCCAGTCTCTGGCCTCAGCTTCTCTAAGAGCAATGATTCCTTGTGGTCCTTGTTCACAGCTTCAGCAGAAATTGTGGGTTTGTCAAGGTAATTAAGACTTCCAAAATGTTTAGTCACTCAAGTTAAATATAGGTTCCTACAGATGATCCTAAATTCAGACCCACTCATAAAAAATGGAAGTAAAAACACATTTTCTGGATGAAAAGTTTTATTTTTCAGACATAAGAAATGGCCTGGAGCAGCTAGAATCCTGTGCTGTGGATTCTGGAATTGAAGTCAGGTGTTGGCAATTCCTCTTTCTCTCATTTTAGTTCAAGCCCAACTTACAGGGATTGTTACAGTTTACCCTCTACTTGTATTTATCTCATTAAGCTACCTTTGAAAGTGGATTGAATTTGGGGGATTTGGGGAATATGAAACAAATCTGACAGTTCATTTGTAAGGATGTACAGAATTCATGAGGGGAAAGAAAGAGAGAAAGGTTTACTGTGACATGCTAGGGGATGGTACAACATGATTTACAGAAAGCAAGTTTGAAAGGTAAGGTTATTCCTGGATGACTGGTGTACAGCCCAGAATGGCAGTCCTCTCACAGAACCCCAAGCCTTCTGCATAAGTTATTTTTCTATTTGTGGGGGAGAAAAGGGGCAGTCCATTTACAACTGAATTCATACAAGGAAACTTGAAATTGTAGGTGTTCTTTCAGTCTGTAGTTTTATTAAGTGCATACTTTAAATATTGTTTGTCAGTGAGAAGGTTCTATCTGGTGACAAATGTTTATATTTCTTATGGCTGCCTTGTAAAGATTACAAAATGTACAATAATGAATTTCTTAATATGAAATAAGGAGTAAGATTTCTACAACTGCTATAGATTTTGATGTGAGCTGGTTTTTAAAATCTTGTAACAGATTACTCACTTAAATAAAACCTTCCTTGCCTTTAAGCAAACAGTGTCACTGATTTTTCTTACCAGTGAATTGGGAACTATTAGATCATCAGTGTACATGTCCTAGTAGCTGTTGGAAACAGTATAGAGGCTTCCTGATACACGTGTTTGAAATAATACTTAAATTGGAGGTTGACTTTTCACAAAACTCCAACCCTCCCTCCTTTTCAGAAGTCATAGAAGGAGGTATCTTGGTAATGAGTCACCATCTTTGTGAATGCTTTATAGAAGAAGTAGTTTCAGAACATGAAAAGAATATATGTTCCCTATAGAAAGGTGGTTAAAAAAACCTAAAACCAGCACACAAAACGTACACAAATACTACCTTAGGAAATCAGGATTGAATACTTGCCATATTTATATTTGATACCATTAAAATTTTAGTGAAACTGGAACTGAATTACATGCACATCTTAAACATTATCAAGTAGAGCAAAATTTTCCAAATCAGTCTTTTGTTTGAAGGTTCATCTTAGAGTGAATGTAACTGGAGAAGCCTGCACAAAGCTGCTACCACCTAAAACAGCCCTGCTGTTGAATTCCAGAAGCTTGAGAAATCTTTGCTTTGGTTTGAAAGACTAAACTTTGTTACGCTGAATGACCAACCAAAAAAGGCTTTTCAAAGGAATGTTACTTTTTTTTTTTTTTTAAGTAACTAGAAGCAAAAAAAATATATCAAATGCTAAGTATGCATCATCAAATAAAATACCTGCACCGAGATACTGGCTAATAACAGTAGCTGTAAGAGGTTACATTAATTGTAGTAACAATTTCTGCATATAACTAAAAGACAGATGTTTTAGTACAGAAGCAACGTTTAACTCAACTGCCAAGATGCTATTTAAAGCAGCAGTAGGAAATTACAAAGTTGCTCTGATTTGTCTGGGACCAAACTACCTAAGATAGGATTAGTTAGACTAATCTAATAGCAATCCTTAAGGCCATGAATTAAGAGTCCTAATGTGGCTTTTCTCTTGTGGCAGAAACCTATTGCCTTGGAATGGCAGTTGTGGTCAAAACTTAAAGAAGCCACTATTGTTTTATTAACTTCCAGCTAAACATGATGCTTAACACTTAGTTTGTTCATATATAAAAATAATGTTAGGCTTTCGAAATAATAGACCAAACTCTTTTGTATGTAAAATACTTGTGCTAAAACTCATGGCAATTGGATACCAGTCTAAACACTCCTCTTACCTAGGATTACCGTTCATAAGTCTGTGGCCCAGGCTTTGGCCATTCCTACTGGTCAGTACAACATCAAAGTACCTACTGCCTCATGAAAGTCACATTCAAGATGGTTCCCTCATCTCAGCAGGAGATAATACCCTGTGGTTGGTACCACAGGTACCAACTACAGTTGAAAAGAGAAAGCAAGGGAAGTCCTGAGCTGCTTTGTCAAGAAAGATTATAAAAATGTAGTGGTTTGTTTAGTGTATAGAGTGCACCCTTTTGGTGCTACACAGACCCCTCATTTATATATGCTCATAAACTAATAATAGTTACAGTCTGTGTCTAGGTACCAAGTGCTTGATGGAGTTTCTTTGCTTGCCTTTTGATAGCTTGAGAAGGTTTCAGGGATCGACACGCAGAATGTAAGTTTTCTGCCATTAGATAGTAATAGTTTGATGTTGCTTGTTGCCTGCAGAAGAACAACAACAAGACTGCCATTAGCAGCATCAAGTCAGTAGGGTTAATCAACTGGTGGTTACCCAAATTGCTGGAAAGCAGATGGGAGCAAGGAAGAGGTCTGGTATCTGTACACTTGCCACTGTGTAACAGTTCTAAACAGCAGCAAGAAAATGTTTCGTTCCCTTCAGTAAGCATAAATGGCAATACACAAATTAAGTACTGCAATACTTTAACTAGCAACAGGAACATTTCTTGTGATATAACCTAATTCATTAAAATGAAAAACATTAGAAAAATACATGGAACTGGCAACTATCATTTGAGATCAAGGTTTGTTTCCTCCTGGAAAAGCTGAAAAGGGAGCTCTAGCACAAACTCAAGGCAATTTGGATACCAGAACAGAAAATCTCATGCAAGACTAAGGGCACCTCCAAAAGAGTTCATTTCACAGTTGATACAGTAGGCAGCCTACAAAACAGTTAGTGAGAGAGCACATTGGATGCATCTACCCATGCAAGAGAACTGGACCAAATTACTTAGTGGCAGCGGAACACAGCCCTGTTCAAAGTCGAGCATTTGAAAATGCTTTCATATTTTCTTGAAAAGTTACAGCAAACAGTGTCTTACACCTATCTTTGTTGCTAAAGTAGGACATCCTATTTAAGGATGTAACTTTAACAAAAGGAGGACTTCCAACTTAATGGATGAAGAAACTAATGTCACAATACAGATCTCAGTGAAGTTAATAGAGGCACTTACCTGGTAATGGTCCAATGAATTGACACTAGAAGTGATGTTTAAAAACTGACAACAAATACCTCCTGTTCCCATCCATTTGGGTGGGATTGCTGTGTTTAAAAGTGCCACCAATAATTAGCAACTGCTGTTATTGTGATAGCACAGTCTTAACTGCTACTGATTGGAGGGATGGAAAAGAAAGGCTGTAAATTCAGACAGCTCTGTCATGCTTTCTGACCTTCATTAGTAATCGGTGAGAACTGAGCCGGAGTGACAAAAACATTAGTACCAGTAGTTTTCTGGTCTGGGATGAGAAAAGCTGTTGTTTGCATAAAAGCGTAGCTTATGGTTCATTGGAAACCCACAAGTATTCATGAATCCACAATTTAGAGGTGAAATTTTACAACTGCACAATGATCAGCTGGAGCAGAGACAGCCACAGTGAACACAAGGGAAGAACCCTGTGGTTCCACAGAACACTGCTTTAAAGCAGCATGAGTCTATAAGCTTTTTTCTCTCTAAACAGCAGATTTTCTCCCCACAGATGCATGCAGGTATAGACAGGGTAAGTGAACAACTACTTTACCTGGTTGCTACTATCTTCAGTTACGAATGAGAGAAACTGTCATATCACTAACAGATGGAAGAATATTAGGAATGAGATTTAGTGAACTTTCAACGGATATGATAAAATTAACTTGATACAAGATTTAACCTATAGTTATCTAGACATGGTCCCATTGGGAAAAATTGAATTTTTGGAATTATGTAGGATTTTAAGTCCTAACCTCTTTGTTGATAAATGTACTTGATGCTAAGCCCTCTCTAGAGACTTTGAGGTGCTTGACATCAAGTGTTCTAAGAGAAAAAGAGGTTTAGGGAATCGCCCTATGACAAGACTTCTGACCTTTAGTTTTTACTCTCTTAATGTCTAATTCAGAATGACATAACTTTCACAAATACAGCAGCCTACCACCTCATGGATTAACCAAGGTGTTTTATAACAGGTTTCTGCATCTGGGTACTATGGATTGTTTGTTATAATTCTACCTAATAAAAGGATTTTTTGTTATAAATGTGCAGACATCAATAATTATGTCCGTGCTCTGGAATTTCCCCACCTCTCCCCCAGCTTGCATTGGCACTCTTTTAGACAGAAGCAGGGAGGTACTGCTCTCACACAAGGTCAAAGGTAGGCTCTTGCTGTGAAAAATCTGATTTCCACAGCAAGATACCTGAAGACAAGGAGAGCATTTGACAGGTTTTTGAAGCTGCAAATCCAACTGCAGATTTAATCTGCTCAGGTATCTTGAAGAAAGAAATTATCTACTACATTACACCTGAGAAAGTTCTGCAACTATTCCTTATCCTGAGTTACAGGGACGACCTAACCTGCAATTGCCAATGTCCAAGTAGGAGGTAACCTGTGCCAAAAGTTGAGGGACAGTTAACAGTATTTACCTCTCCTCTTTCACAATAGCATCATCAAATGCCTGGGACATACGCTTCAGTTGACAAATCCCTGAGGAGACCAGTTCCAACTCGCAGTCATATTCCCTGCAAACAGAATCATCATTACTAAAGATCAGACAGGACAGACTGACTAGGTGACACTACTCAAGCCTATATCCCTGCAGTACCACTCTTGTTACCTCCAGACTTTACCTAGAGAAGTTTAGAGCTGTGGCAATCATGCTCGTACTTTCACTGGCCAACTGCTTCACATCTCTATTCATTCCCCAGACAGCTATCTTCCAGTTCAGACACAGGATTCAAATTCAGCTTCTAGCTTTGACCTTTCTTGTGACTGACCAAAAGAAAAACCTATGCGTGCATTATGAAGTATTTCCCGAGCTCACAACCCTTGATCTAATTTGTGTTAAATCTTTGAGGCAGGAATCTCTCTATAAAGAATTCAGTATAAGCAGAGCTATTCCTGGTATCTTTGCAATACAAATAGCAACTTTGGAAAAGTTAGAACTAAGTAGGAGTAAGATGCATTGAGAGCATTTTTCTTTACTTGGGTAAAGAATCAGCAAAGAATTCAGGTATGTCTGTAGCATCTTAGGGGCACTTGTGCTGAGAAACATGGTGCAAACTTACCCAGTGGGAGAGGGATTTTTAAAAAGTTCCTGTCACAGCACAAAATTACTTTTTACGTTTCAGCTTTATGCAGTTCTCAGTCTCTGTCTATACAGGGACCTAGAACTACCTTGTAGCTATTCAAACAGCCCACACTTTCAGGAGAATAGGACATGAAGCAAACTTCATACCTTGCCTTTTACCCTACCACATACCCTAATCACAGTAATTTAAAAAAAAAGAAAAAAAAAAGGAACAAGGTTTACAAAAGAATATGACTTACATCTTTCTGGCAGGAGCAGGTGATGAATAAGGGCTCTTCAGTGCTGCTGCTCTTCTTGATCTCCGGAGAGAGACAGCATTTTTACCAAGCCAGGATGAGAAATCCCTCCGTTCTCCATGTTCTGACACCCTTGTTGGCCCAAGCAAGGCCCTTTTGCTGGACCTTGGGATGCCTTTGGAACTGGCTGCTGGAGTAACAGTCTTATAGCAAGGGGTTTGAGGTGTAGTACTTTTTTTCTTGGTAGAACTCGTCGCACAGCTTCTGCTGATGGATTCAGCTGGAAAGGTCACCATTGAGTGTACTGGGCTTTGGCAAGACTTCTGTATTTTCTGAAAGAAGCATTAGATACATTAGGCTAAAAGAACTCAATTAGCCTAGAGTTTAGAACCAGAAAGACAAGGAACATTTAAGCTGAATTCCTAACTTCCATTCCCATATCGGGTTTTCTCAACCCTCTGTACCCACTGCATTGGAGGAGTCATTTGCTTCCCTAATCCTTAGCACTTGTCAAGGACTTCAGAGCAGGCATCGGAACAGAACTCCTGCTGCTCTTATGCTGGAACAAGCCAGGCTCCCTAACATATAACTCATGCATTTAAAAATCTCAGGTCTCCAACAGGTTTTGTCAATCTGAATTTATACTGACTATAATGAAGAACTATGATAATTAGTATGGGTATGGGAGAATAAAAAAGAAAAAAAATTCCAAAGTGCTACACATTTCTCAGAAACAATTCTTTGCAAGCAATGGCAACCTCTAGCCACTTTCCTCCTTGTGAAGGCTGCTCTGCTATACATGATGAAATAGAGTAGAGGAAAAGCATTTATTTCATGCTAAAATAATGTTTTCACCCTCCTCCATATTCTGCCAGATCCATAATTTGACTGTCTATACTTTAGGAAAAGATATTAAAGATTTTACAAGTTAATAGCTATGAGGTAACCATTAAGGTGTGCAAGTGTGTGGGAATGGACTCTCTGGAATATATGTACAGAGTTCAGAAATCTTAGTACTGAAGTTGGAGCAAAAACTAAACTCTATCCATGTTCCACTGCAAAGGGAAAGTACCTGGGACACTGTTCCAAAAGCATTTTTTGCTGTTCTTTTAATAATCTGAAGAGTTTGGCACCTCTGTCCTGCTTCCAGACTTTCCCTAGTTGGGGTGTTATGAAAATTCAGCTCTACTCGCTTTAACGGTGCTCGTTTCCTTAGAGACATGCAGATGGTATTGAGAGAACTCAGAGCAGCCTTTCTCTTGAATTTGTCAGGCACAGGGCTCTCATTTTCATCAAAGTCAGCTAGGAGCTGGTGTTTCTGCCAGGCCATTGTTGCTCTGACATTCTGGAGCACAGATGCCATCTTGTTCCAGGTCCTGGTCAACCTTATTTCTAAAAGAATTAAAATGAAAGCAAGGCTTAGACAGAGCAAGGTACAGAGCAGTGTAAAAACAGAAATGGAAACTGTTACATACAATATACTTGATTACACTTGCCTGAAACAAGAAAACCAGAGCTGGGCAGACTTTTACTTGGGCTTTTACTATCGATTCTGTAGCATTGATTTCTACAGGTATTTAAATTTGTACAAGTCCATGAAGAAGCCTTATACTGCATTTCTAGTGCAAGACTCAAGCTTGTGAGGTAGACTGCTCTGTAAGTGCAACTTTTTTGTTTGTGTTTCAGACTAAGATCTGGTATCCCAAATTTTTGCTTTCTTTAATCAAAACAACCTTCCACTGCCAGACAAGTTTACACAGCTGCTCTTGTCTCCTGCCTGACTTGCTGGCTGAAGGTTCACGCTTTATTCACAGTTATGATTGTGGATACATAAGTCCTGAAATAAACAGGATTTTTACTGGCAGAAGACTTCAGTGGGAAGGGCTAAAATGCTAGCTATCTATATGACATATGACAATTGAAACATACATACATATTTTAAATTCTTCATTTTCACTTACTATTGAGGTAGGATACCACTAATGATTTACTTCTAAAAAGCAAGTGAAATGCAGATGTATTTTAGCAATCTGAATTGAGAGTGAATTAATTTTATCAATACTTCATTGCAGATCATGTTAAAAAAGCTGGGAGGTCTCTACCACCGTTATACCACTACTATCTCTGATCTGCTGAGTTATCTCCATCTCTCACAAGCGTCCTTATTCGCGTCAAAAAGCAATAAGGCTTATTGAAACGTTGTAATCCTGAAGGTGTTTGGGATATTAACACCTTTAATTCATTCCTGCACGTGGCACCAGGAAAAGCTACTAATCGGGCAACCGTTCAATTCTGACTAGCTCGCAGCTGATCCAGGCTCCTTTGGACCGCCTGCCAGCTGCCGCTGATTAATTTATGCCGGCAAATACAACTGAGGTGAAACGCCCCGAAGGGAGCAGCTGCCGTCCAAGGGTACACCGATCTGAGACAGGCACTGCACAGGAGAGCGCGGTGCTTCGGTTGGTCCGGAGCCCACGGCGGACTAGGACAGCCGCCGGCTGGGCCCCCGGGTACGGCCGGCGCACGGGGGCCCGGCCGAGCCGCTCTCGCCGCCAGGGCCGCAGGAACCCCGCTCTACTGGCATTGCCTGTGCTCCCCGCCGACAGCCGCGGCAGAGCAGCCGCCCCGGGATAACAGGGCACGGGGGCACGGGGCGGGCCGGGGCGGGCCCGGCCGGCGCCGTTCTTGTGCGCGCCGGGGACGCTCGTAGCAAGCGCGAAAGGCGCCGCCAAAGCCCGAGAAGACCGGCTGGTGGGCCACTCGGCCCTGTACTCACTCAGTGCGTGGAGGGGACGGGGACCGAGACCGGGATCGGGACCGACGCACCACCTCCCCGCAGGACCCGCCGCGCGCGCCGCCGCCACGTTTGAACGGCGCTCCGCCCCTCCGGCCCTTCCGATTGGCGCCGCCGCAGCCGCCGCAGCCGCCGCCCGCCTCCATTGGCCGTTACCCGTCCCGAGGCGCGCGCACCAGCCGCGGCTGGGGGCCGGAGGGGCGGCCCCGGGCGGGTCGCGGCCCGGGGTCTCCCCCGGCACAACCGCAGGGGCTGCGCCGCTACCCCGCCCCCGAGCCCGAGCTGCCCTCAGCAGGAGCGGGACCAGGAGTCGGGCTGGGCTGGGCTGCCGCGTGGGTGTTCGAGAGACGGCTCCTGGTACTTCTGGTAATTCATTGGCAGTCAGAGTCTTAGAAGGTTTTTGTTTGTTTGCTTTTTCTCCGCGGGCTTCTACAACTCTTGTTGGAGGAGACAGCTCGTCTAACTGTCCATGTCGGACTGGAAACCATCTGAAGCAAATCGGGCAGCAAAGAGGGCCAAGTACAGAGAATGTGGCTGCTCAGCAGTGGGGTTTTTGGTTTGGTTTGTTTTTTTTCTTACCCTGGAGAAAAGCAAAACGTGCAAAGCATTTATTTATCTTTAGATCACTTCTACCTGAAAAAATTGCTCCCAAAAAGCTGTATCAGCTTCTCTTTTTTTCCAAATGATTGGGTTTTCCCCATCAAATTAAACTCGGAGCTGACAGGTGAAGACACCTCCATAGCTAAGACTTGGCTTAGAGCTGTGGGGAAGCCAACACAGTAACACTGCAGGATACCTCTCGAATCCCACCACTGGCTTATAAACATACTTTTTACTAATTCCTAAGAGCTCTGGTTTAGAAAAAGTTCCGTGTGATGGTGTTTGTACCCCTTTCTATTCACACACTATAATATGGGTGACTAGTGTAATAAATATCCCTCATTAATAGACATGTTTCTATGTATTGCAGCCCTATGTGCTGTTCTGCTTTCCTTTGTCCATTGGCTTTAGGGCTTCCAGGTACCTGAAGATGCGTTAGACCTTGCCTGCTGTGTTCTCCCCACCCCCAATCTCCATAGTGGAAGCTTCAGATTCTTCTCAATTGCAAACTGCAGCTTGAGCTATGACATTTTAAGACTTGGCTTGGATGTTTGGACATTCATCTAAAGACCTGCAAAACAAAGAGCTCTTAGTGGGGATTTGGTACTAAATACAAGAGATAGAGTCAGGTGGTAATTGGACCCTTGTGCTCATTTTCTAAAGGCTATCTTGATTACTGGGGGTTTGAATTGGCACTTTGGATGGCAAGGGTGGGCAGAGGAATCCCTAAGAATTTTGCTAATTGGACAGAGCATGCGTACAGGCAGAGGGATACTGTGTGACATAACTGTGGGCCAAAAGGGAAGGAAAAGGGCTGAAGCTGAACTGGGCAGTCAGCCTGTGCTTTCATGCCTATTTATAAAATTAAAATAGAAAGATCTGAACCTCAGGGATCTGCGTATTTTCTTCATCTGCTTATGGTGCCTTCGTTGTTTCCATCCATTTCAAATTTGTTATCCAGCAGGACAGCATGTGCAAAGGAGGAAAGGTAGATTGTTTGGAGATTGGCATCACGTGCTTTTGAGTTGCATCTTCTTGTAGTCTTGTCAGCCAATAAGCCTTGATTTTTGGGGTATATCATAACAAAGTGTCACTAGGTGTTTTTCCAGTTTCATCCCCAAAAGCTAAGGAGAGATTTACCAAGTGGACAGAGTTAGACATGTGCATTATAGAGATGGGAAGTAAATACATCCTGAATTTTAGCGTCTCTGCAAAGGTACTAGCAGAACACTAGCTTTGCATGCTCTTTGTCTGTTTGCAGTCAATTAATACCCTGATATGTAAAAGGCCTCACAAAAACAAGCACCTAACAGGCCAGTGGGATGCTGTTTGTGTTTCATAGCTGAAAGCATAGAGAATGCATCACTTCCCTTCTTAAATGTTTATTGCTCAGACCCTCAATCCACTCACCTGGTTGGTGAAAAATGACACGACAAGACATACAGCCTGCACCTGACTGGCAAATCGTGGCCTGTATTTCTCTGTTTGCCTTTACATATAGTCAGTTGTCATGACATCATGAATGTCATCTCTTTTTTCCATGGCAATGGCTAAGCTTCACATAGGGAGGACTCAGAGGCAGAGAAAACAAATCTTTAGAGGGAGACTGTGTGAGCTGGAAAAGTGTGCATGAAGATGAACACTTGCACAGTCCAGCTTTGAGAGTGGAACTGGTAACTTCTTGCATCATGGTTGTTTCCTTAGGTGGACTTACAAAGACTTAGTTGGTCTTCTGACTTGCCAGCCTATTCCCTGTCCACTAGACCACAAGGACTGAACATCCTGCTTGAACCAAGTGATGGAACAGCTTAATATTGCTTATTATACTCAACAGGAATTGTACCTTAATCTAAGGCAGGGTACTAATTGTCATGGAATTGTACCCCAGAAGGCTATGAAAAGTAATTTGTGCTAGTTTTGCACTGACAGTCCTGTTCAAATGTATACAGCCCAAAGAACTGGGTACTTTTAGACATTAGGCACAGTCCACAAACCATGATCAATTAATTACAGCTGATGCTAACCAAAGGTTTCTTAGAGGCTGTGGCTGCTCTACCAGCAGTTGATACCATTTCACTCTTTAACTAGACTGAAGGCAAAAAAGTTAAAAGATGTGTCCTGTGCTTGTACTGTGATTGTTCTTCATTCATTGTTTTTTTCTTTTGATTTAGGTTAGACTATAGTTTGGACCCAAGAGCTTGTTTGACCCTGACAGCTAAAGTACAGAGGCAAAGGAAAGGTTGTTGGTTTTGATTGTGAAGAAGCAAGCTTTCATCCATTTGCTTAGAAGCCTATTATGTTGGGATTGGCAAGAAATCTACCCACAGCTTTCTGCATCTAGGTTTGACTCAACACTCAGAAGAGAAGTAAGAAACGGTCCTCTCAATGGAAGATGACAATGAACCTGAGCAAAGCTCCTGGGCCCATCTACCTGATGTCTGTCTGAGGCATATCTTCCATTGGTTAGATGACAGGGACAGGTCTCGGGCTGCCTTGGTCTGTAAAAAATGGAGTTGTGCTATGTACTCTGGATCTCTCTGGAGATGCAGAACCATCACATTCTATGGCCAACCATCAAGGGCACGCACATTGGAGTTTCAAAGTGCATTGTGGTACACCAAGAAATTTGGCAAGTATTTGAAGCACCTTGAGGTCAAGTTATCGAATCCTTACAATACTCCCTTTATCAAAAAATTTCAAGTGACTATGAAAGGTCTTCTTTCTCACCTGGGTAAGTGTAATAGCCACCTAGTATCCCTGAGCATCAAGTACCTAGAATTAGACTGCTTGATCTGGAAAAACGTGGTCAGGGCTCAGTTTATCAAGAACTTAGCTACCTTCCTGAAAAGAATGAGCAAACAGCTTGATTATCTCAACTTAAAAGGAGCAAGAATAACTTTGGAAGAAGGCTGTGAACTTCTGAATTCTCTGAGCAGCTTGACAAATAGAAGCTTTATATCTGAAATCAATATTGAGGATTTCTTCAGTCTCCACCTTTCTGTCTACAGCAGTGCCTTGTTCCACCAAACTATGTCTAAGTTCCACAGCCTGACCATCCTGACTTTCAACTATAACTGCATCTCTGATGAACTGCTGGACATCCTGCGGGAGCATAGCTCTCATTCTCTGTGCACCTTGAATATCAAGTGTCATATCCATGACCCTCATGGGCAAGTGGTCTCGGGAATGTCATGGGCAAACTTGGCCAAGAGAGCCCCAAAACTGAATGTGAACTTCTTCTTTGAAAGAGTCATGAAGCATGATCACCTAGCCAGGATCCTGCTAGTGGAGATCCCAGTTAGGAGCATCAGCCTACGGAGCTGCTACTTCAGTAACCCAGACTGGACAATGAGACCTACCCTCACTAACCTTCTCCCAGCCTACTGGCATGGTCTGCAGGTAAGGGAAATAGTAGTAACATCTTACTGCAGTATCACAAAGCTAAGCAAAGTAATCATTTAGGCCTGCATAACAGCAGTCAGCAATAGAACTTCCTGACAACTTCAGTTTCACGTTCAGAGGGTGGTTTTCCATAAATACAGTGTTCAGCTGTAGTGTAGTTCATGAAATTATCCTTGTCCAGTTACAATTCCCATTATGCTATCAAGCCGCTCCATTTTGGCAATGCACAAATGTCCTACAGCACATATAAATTAACTAGTGGCCATATCAAAGCACTTTGGTGTCACTGGGGACGTATCACCAAAGGTGTGCAACAGCTGACCCATGTAAATGAGCATCAGGTCTTTGCATGCCTGAGGGAAGCATGTGGCCTTACACCTAGTGGTTGCTGACAGCTTTCTTTAAGCCCTGTTTCATTGCAGAGTTTCTGGTGAACACCAGAGATCTGCAAAGCTCCCTAGAAACCGTCTTTGGCTCTACTCCCATATCTAGGATAATTTCCAATATGTCAAATAAGATCATGACATGACTGTGGGTGTAGCATCTTCTAATGAATGCACAAGGGATCACCCCATCTTAATGGGAGAGTGAAGATTACTGTAGCACATATACTGTTGTCATAATGCAAAACAGATTCTCTGCTAATGTCAGGGTACAAAATTGATCTGCTAACACTCACTTTTGTTGGTTAAATTGGAAAACTATTTGTTGAATTCTAGTTACTGCACTCACAAGCTCCGTTCAGTAGTACTAACAGTGTTCATTCTTTTTCAAGAAATTAACACTTGAATTAAACAATGACCATGAGTTGCTGGACAATGAGCTGCTACAGCTTATCTTATCATGCAAGAGGTTGTTATTTCTGAAAGTCTGGGCATTTCTAAGTGTCACCTTTATGGAGAGGCTGCTACAAAACCGTGCAGAAAGGAAGTGCATTCTGACTACCATAAAGGTAAGACTTTGTGCTTTAAAAGTCCCCTTCCCTTCCTCTCTCCAATACTCAGAGAAGGGTTAAGTCCCCGTGCCCATAGAAAGGTCACTTACAGAAATGTTAACATAACTACCTTCCCTACACATTATAATGAGCCTGGGAAGCACTCACAGAAATGGGGCTTTCCAACCTACTTAGCCATGT